CTTTCAATTCGCATTTACAAATTGATTTTTAAGGCACTTATTCAGTGGATTTTATAGAAGCACATTGCCTTTGTTAAAGATTGCATGAATTTATTTCCCTTGGTAAGGAAAGGATTGTAAAAATATTTTTCTTCGTTGAAATATGTTTCGAAGTTTCGTCTATCGATGTTTAATTAGTAATTTATGTCGGTTTCCTTTCTCTTCGTGGTACACGTGAGTCGGAAAGGAATACACGTGAATGGTCTACTGGGAACCGGCAACAGGCCTCGCAAGTCCATGACCTCCTTTTATACAGTCTGAAGATTTTACCGGTCACTGGAAATATCTAATATATAAAATAAAAAAATATAAGATTTCGGAATCGAGCCTATAAATAAAGCCATTGTACGTCTTTCAACGGAATTGTGACGAACATATGCGAGGGTTGAAACGAAAAAGGAAACCATTCACGTTACGTAGTAACATTCTTCGTACGCGAAATCCACGTGATCTCGAACACGAGCACGTGAATAGTCTGTTACAGGAACGTTTTACGTAGTCCGTGACCGCTTTTCATGGGGGCAGCGTTCCTTTTACCACTTTTCCTGAAGCGTAGGGTGCGGCAGAATGATCTTCCTACCATTACAAATAATTAAAAGATGTCTACGCGATAAATGCTTTCTTTAACTGCACTGTCAGGAAGAGTAATGTGCATATTTTTATCATATCACCGTACTAATTATACTAATTATTACAGAAGCGAGAGAATATGCAAAAGAACACCTTTCATTAAATGTTCGTTATTATTTCGCACGCATTGTTATTTGTGTTTCGTCATATAGATTAGAGATACAAAAATTTCATTTCGTATCTGACTTCGTGACCATCAGATAATATTCTTTCTACTTTCTTGTAAAAAGCAGGAAGATTTTTCTACCTGGCTTTCAAGTATCTACGTAGATACATAAATATCTACAATAAGTATGCGCTCTCCTTCGAAAAGCGTAGCGAACCGATGCGTTGCATGCCCAGGCACAGCACGTGCATGTCCTAGTCNATAAATCTCTTTAAGAGAACAGACGTAGTCATTTTATGGCAAGTAACAATGCAATTATACAATAGATCATATCGTAAATAACAAACTTTTACAGGGATCCAGGCATTGGTCAGTTACTGTCAATACCTGCAAGAATTATCGCTCTCTTATTCATTGCTTAGCGACGAGTTGCTACTAGCCCTGAGCTCCGAAAAACAAGTGCAATTGGAAACCTTACGATTGGAAGTGCATCCAGATACGAAACCGTTTCCGCGTGTCAGCGACAAGGCTTGGTTTACGTTTTCCAGTCATTTGCCGAACATAAATCTTGTGCTGTGAGTGCACATTAATTATCCGCGCTTTTTTCTCACTATCTCGATCCTCTTTTGCGTGTTATACAAAAAATTACAGTATAAAATAAACGAACGCATAATATCATCGATTATTTATTCGAAATTAAACCTTTGAATGAAGATCCATATTTTTTAATATCAATTCACCGGTTCAGTGACACCTATTTGTATCTGTTGGTTGGGTCAATTAATGGTTACAAGTAGAAAAATAGTATATGCATTATCAGCTTATCGTGTAATATAACGTTTTTTACAATAAAATTAGATTGTCTTATATGACAAATGAAGACGATCAAAGTCTGCTGTTCGCGCCGTACGTTCCTGTGACGCACTTGTATTTCGGAGAAGCACCATCGGAAGCGACTATGTTATGCGTCGGATGCCAGTGCCCGCGGCTGGTCGAGCTGGTGATCGCAGCCTATGGACCCGGTCCGATCGATCGTGCGTTACTCTCTATCGTTCAAGGATGCCCACGTTTAAGCGCTCTCGGTTTGGGTGATTGCGAAATCACGTATGTACTACAATAATATTATAACTATTTAATAAGTATAAATTCAATATAGATGAAATCGTGGGCGTGTACGAAGCGATATTTAAAATTTTTTATCCCGAGAAATCATATCGAGAAAATTTTTATTAAGTGGCAGTAATTGTTTAACCCATTGCACTCCTTATTTTTTATTTTACATATGTTAATAATTCAATAATTGTTCGTTCAGTTATTCTCTTTTAATTGAACGACGGAATTATCAGTAACGGTGCAACAGGTTTTATTCTTTCTCCTTATTTCGATCTTAATTTAAATAGATAAAATTATTCGTATTATAAACTATTGAGAAAATGTATCTTTATTATATATTGAAAATCTCTCTCTTGTATGTGCTTAGTTGCTCGGGATTGTTGGAATTTGTTACGCTGTGCGCGAAACGTTTGCGAATACTTTACGTCTGGGAGACGTCGCTAATAGAGGATTCCGAACTCGATGTCACGAAAGTGTCGAAGAACGTGTCGTTGCTTCTTGGTCGTACGTGGGTACCTGAATACATACCGCTTTGTTGAGACTCTTTAACAATAATCAAAGCAATTTACTACTACGCGAATTAAATGACAATACACGTAGTTCTGCGCATAGACCAGAAATGTGCATAAGTGATAAATTAG